TGTCCTGTCCGTCTTGGGTGTCCCTGCATGGCATAGCCCATAGCTTCTGTGAATTACTCAAGCCCCGTAGCCACGACAAGGCAGCAATCCATGAAAAGTCAGTAGAAAGCTTACATTTATTGGCAATATTCTGTTCTGTTTTGCTCTTTTAGATGCCAGCTAATCTGTTTTTGTTTCTGTTGAATGCATTTGGGTGTTTGAACTGAGTTAGTTCTTGCTGAATCTTTTTCCAGTTAAATTATCATAAAAGTGTATAAGGAACAAAGCTTCAAACCCCTGTGGTGTCTTTATTTCTCATCTGTCCTAAGAGCATTTATGTGCATTAAGGATGTTGGTTGTCCCTTTTTTGTTGGAAGAAGTCATCTTCCGGATAGAAGGTAGTACTGCTGTTAGAGATACTACCTCTAACTGCGGTTTCAGGCATTAGAAAGAGGTTCTGTTATTCAGACATCCCCATATTAATACCAGACTGGCACAGTGGTCTGTAATATGTAGATTCATAAGCCCCTGTTTCGCAAGGTTGAACTCTTAACAACATGACCTGCACATTGTGGCTAATATTTGTAGACACCTTTTGCATGTTTCCATGCACAAAAGAAAAAGAGAGTGTCACTCCCAGAGTTACAGTGTAATATATATAAGTAAATACTTTACTTTGAGGATCACATTGTTTTACATATTTGTTACCTTGTGAGGTAAAGCTAGAATGTTTCTCTTTTACACCCAATTGTCACACAAATTGTGTATGTTTTCAGCTAATGGCTGAAATTAGTAAGCAGTATGTTTATATTCATAAATCGTTTTTAAAAATACTATAACACAGTTCTAGAAAGATGACTTCAGACTTGTGGCTTTATAGTGGCAGTCCTCAAAAGTTGTCTTTCTGGTTTTGAGAGACCTGCAGCAACAAGTCTCCACCTATTGCTAAGTATGAAGCAGAATGAGACCTTTGGGTGTGTGGCGTTCGCTGTAGTCCATGACCTAGAGCTGTGGGAAAGGTCAGTGTTGGCCCTCCAGAGGTCGGAGGGCCAATACTCCTGGACTCCTGTCATCTCTCACCATGGTTTGTGGTAATTAGGGCCAATGGGAGTTGCAGTCCAGCAACAGGGGCCAAAGTTGCCTGAGCCTGGCTGAGGGAAGATAGAGAACAAGAAGGGCACAGAGAGTAGGGCTTGATATTTAGGCTACAACTAGTTCTAGTGCTACAACTAGCTCTAGTTTAGGAGCAGTGTTGCAGGAGATTAACCCCCCCCCTCTATTTAACTACCTGCCTCTGAATGGCACCACTTACTTGGGAGCTCTACAGACCTAAAACAAAACACATTTCAGGCCTTATTAAAATAAAGAGATCGTTGATACCAAGTTATTCCAGATACGTGCAGAGATGGAGGAAACCACTTTAGACTTTGATTACAGTCGTCGTCATTTAGTCGTGCCCGACTCTTCGTGACCCCATGGACCACAGCACGCCAGGCCCTCCTATTTATTTTATTTATTTATTTATTTATTCGATTTTTACCTCGCCCCTCTAGACAACGTCTACTCGGGGCGGCTTACATCAGTTAAAACAAGTTAAAAATATATATAAAATGCATTTATACTAAATTAGTACTAAACAGAATGTTTCCAAGATGGTGGTATACAAAAAAAAAGATAGAGAAAGAGAAAAGGAAAATGACTTAATTGACTGGGGGGCAGGCCTGTTTAAACAACAACGTTTTTAATTGGCTTTTGAAAACCCCCAGCGAGGGTGCCAGCCGGATTTCAGTGGGGAGTGTGTTCCACAGCCTATCCTCCACTGCCTCCCGGAGTTGTGTCAAATTCATGTTGGTCGCTTCGCAGACACCGTCCAGCCATCTCATCCTCGGTCGTCCCCTTCTCCTCTTGCCTTCACACTTTCCTAACATCAAGGTCTTTTCCAAGGAGTCTTCTCTTCTCATGAGATGGCCAAAGTATTGGAGCCTCAGCTTCAGGATCTGTCCTTCCAGTGAGCACTCAGAGTTGATTTCCTTTAGAATTGTTAGGTTTGTTCTCCTTGCAGGCCAGGGGACTCTTGAGAGCCTCCTCCAACACCACAATTCAAAAGCATCAATTCTTCAGCGGTCAGCTTTCTTTATGGTCCAGCTCTCATTTCCATACATCACTACAGGAAAAACCATAGCTTTGACTATGCGGACTTTTGTTGGCAAGGTGATGTCTCTGCTTTTTAGGATGCTGTCAATGTTTGTCATCGCTTTTCTCCCAAGAAACAGGCATCTTTTAATTTCGTGGCTGCTGTCTCCATCTGCAGTGATCATGGAGCCCAAGAAAGTAAAATCTGTCACTGCCTCCATATCTTCCCCTTCTATTTGCCAGGAGGTGATGGGAGCAGTGGCCATGATCTTAGTTTACAGGAGGACCCCCTTATCCACATGGTCACTATCCAGTGATTTACTTACCGATGGTCTGAAAATATTTAAAAAAATTAAAAGAAAAATAAATCCAGAAAAAAACTGTTTTCACATGTATTAACAGAACCAGCCACTAGAAGAAGCCAGAGACCATGCTATGGAAATTTTTTTCTGGGTTTTCTCCCTTTTACTCTACTATATATATACCATTTGCTATTATCTGTGCTTTTCAGTATCCAGGAGGATACTGTAGGATATTTATTTGTTTGTTTGTTTGTTTATTTATTTATTTAATATCCCGCCTACCTGGTCTTTCAAACACTGTACCAATCCCCAGTGGGTATGGTCAACTTACTGTACTGCAATTGAGAGAGAGTTCAAGAAACACCCCAAGATTTTCTGGGTTTTTGCACACTTTTGTTTTAGCGATAAAGAATATCTTCCTTTTTTTTTTTTTTTTTTGGACACTGGCTTTATTTCATGATATTCAGATACTGTTGAATTTACCTCAATAATTTATTTTACTAACAGCCTCCTTTGATGGGGAGAAGCATGCCATCAGTCTTCCTTCTGTAAACAGTGCATCATTTGTCCTGCGGTTTCTGGAGAAACTCTGCCACAGCCTGCAATGTGATAATCTTTTCAGTAGCCAGCCTTTTAGTCCTTATATGGGAAGTGCACACAGCCCTACAGAATATGATAGAAACAAACCAGGTAATACTCCACTTGTACTGTTTCCCTCCCCGCCTTTTTACCCCACTGTATATTTGTACCATTTACTGTGTCTTGGGTATTTTTAAAAATACCATCCTACGAATGTGTGTAAATCACAGTGCATGGGGTTACTTCCAATTAAGTGTGTATACTGTAAATTGTACCAAGATTTTACAGTCTTATCAGTTATCAGCTCTGATCACATCAGTTGATTTCAGGAGCTAAACTGAATTATGCGAGGGCCAGAACTGGCTAGCCTACTATTTAAATGGGAGATTATCAGGGAGTACTGGATGCTGTACAAGGAAGAGGATGTAAAGCATGGTCCCAACTTGTTGCCACTAATCTGCATGTAGGAGGGTGAAGGAACTCTGTCTGAAATCTTGGAGAACCATTGTCAGCCAGAGATGACAGTATAGGTTAGATGGACAAATAGGCTGAATTGTTATAAGGCAGCTTCTTGTGCTCCTGTTTGAAAATGATGGGGAAGTGCTTGAAGCAAGAAGGCAAGATTCAGCTATGTGAGCTTTCCAGAAACATTTTCAGTCTAAAAATTTTCTGAAGCCGCAGGTAACATATTCTGTGTATAAGATGCCACTTTCCCCTAAAATCGTTAGACTAAAAATTGAGGTTCATCTTACACATGGAAGTAAGCCGACGAGATAACAAAATGGCCCATACCTTGCCTCTGCAAACAGGCTGACTCCAATCACAAGGCTTAGCTTCCTACAGTCAGGAGCTTTAGCTTCCTACAGTCATGAGGCTTATGTAACTGACATCAGCTGATGCTGAACAAACCAATTCCAACAGTGCTCAGATGCAACAGGGACTTGTAACGTCCGAGCATTCTAAGCCCAGAAGCTGAACAAAGTTAAAGTGTGATAATAATATGAGAGTATTAGTATGTAAATGCTACCTAATTACTAAATAATCTGTGTTCTGTTTTATGTTTTAAATATTGACTTCTTAATTTTGGGTTAGAAAAGTGGGAGGGAGGTCTTAGGCATGGAAAAATACAGTATATCAGCATATTTAATTTGTTTTTACAGTACTGCTAGAAAACATGTTAATTTTATTGTCATAAACTAAGTACACAAAATGCAATATTTTAAACACCAAGATTTCAGTATACAGTACAGTACTTTGTTTCCACAGTTCAGCCAAAGAAGTGAAATCCTATTGCTAAGTGTTTAAATTTCGTGTTTCTGATAAAATCACTGCACTTGTTTTAATTTTGCTTTCACTTGCAGTTTATCAGATAAATTAGGAATTTTAATTTGTTTTTAGAATTCGTTTACAACCAGTCCAGGGGAATTTGTAGGCTTTTGATTTTACAGCTTCTTCTTCTTCTTTAAAAAATATTAGACACACTCAATTAAAATTATAAAAACATTGACTGGTATTATATAACAGATGTTTTAATCAAAAACGTACTTAAGTATCAGTTAAATATCAGTGCTATATGTATGCTGTTCCTAATATTGCCAATTTTTGCAGCTCCGATGATAATATTTCAGAGATCTGTGGTTGGTTATAATATTTTATAAAATTCTGCACTGTTGTTCCCAGTGGTGAGCATTGAAATGTGTTTCATTTACAAACAAGTTATTTCTATTGCCAGGCCTCTGTATTTTGTTAATTTTTCCAGTTCTTTATCTTCGACCCCAGCATCCCCTGGTATTGCTGCTTCTGCTCCTTTATTATTATTATTGTTGTTGTTGTTGTTGTTGTTGATGATGATGATGTTGGTGGTAGTGGTAGTGGTAGTGGTAGTGGTAGTGGTAGTGGTCGTCCTTGTCATCTTTTTCTGAAAGAATAACTTGCCATTTATATAATGCATGTACTGTATATTGTTTACAGAACTTCATGTGCATTCCCTCTATAATCCTTACAGTAGCCATATAAGGGCAGCACTTGCTCTTGCCCTATGCATTGCTTAATATTTTTATATGCTTCCACGTTTGTGATATTACAGTGGTTATGCAAAAAGCCTGTTCATCTATTCTGCAATAAAGTAAACATATCATCATCATCGTCGTCATCATCATCATCAATCTGTTATATAATACCAGTCAGTGTTTTCATAATTTTTACTGTGCCTGGTGTTTTTGAATAATAATAATTGACAGCATAGCTGGAGGTGAAATAGAAAGTGGGACTTGCTGGTTCCTTTCCTTTCTTGTATCTTCATCCTGATGTTTTTATGTTTTCTGAAAAACTGTGGCTTATCATCTGTGTGTTCACGAGAAAGATGCACAGATGGTTAAGTATGCACATTTTAATTCTTGCTCATTCTGTCAACTGCTGTATCCGGGAATGAAAATATTAGATGCAGCCCTCTAGTTTATGGTGCATTTCTGATTCATTGCTTACTGTGGTAGAAACTGCCTACCCTGTAATTGAGCCCTGCCTTAATTCCAGCGTTACTATACTGATTTTATTCAGTGGGAGCAGCTTTTGAAAAATGCGGGTAGAAAATACAGATGTAAAAAAGGATTACACTGGAATTAAGGATCTATGAGAAAGTTACTACTATCAGCCAGATAGTGTAGAAAAATCCTTCCTTGTGTATTCTTCTGCTAGAATGAATCACAAAACAAATTTCCTGGGCGAAGCCTATTACTGCAGAAATGTGGAGACATTTCTGAATTTAACTGTTTATGCATTTGAAGATGAACTACTGGTATTAACAGTACATGAACGCTTTTCTTTCAGCAAAAGAGGAAATATCAGAAAACAGAAGTACAAAGCGATATCCTCAGGATTCACCTCCCTATACAGCCCCCCTGTCTCCTAAACTCCCAAGAACTGAAGCTCACCCGTCGGAAGGTAGTTAGACACTTGTTAACTTCCCTCATACATGCACCAGAGTGTATCACAGGACATTCAGTGTAGTTCTAGACGCTGTAGTCAGGATTACCTCAAAAGGCCTCGCCTGTTTATAGGAAGGGCAGGCGAAATGTGGTCTTCTAGAAGTTGAGAACTAAAACATCTGTTATGCCTTGCCCCCCAGAAATGCTAGGAATTGCAGTCCAACAATAAGTATCTGAGGGGTCCCAGTTTGCTCACTTCTGTAGAGTCTTAAGGACCCTCAGGTTGTTAGGGCCAAGATTCCTGTATCACGTTCTCATGTAGTGATCAGAATCAAAGACTGCCATTTTTGCACTTGCTGTTACCAGCAGGAAAATAATGGCCTTGACTACACAGGCTGTTGTACATATTCAAGCTCCGTCTGCCCTCCCCCCAAGTCAGTGATCAGGGCCAAGGTGACTGTTTCCTTGCTGCTAGTCACAACTCCCACAGTGGCCAGCTGATATTTGAGCAGCTGGGGCAGATGCACGGGGCTTTACCAGTTGCTCAGAGAACAGCCAAAGGTTTTATGCAACCCATGGGTTGCCTACCTGGGATACTGCAAAGGCAGTACATTCATAGGCTTCTTCTTAACAGTAAGTAGAAATCTCTACTTCTTCATTAAGTGCTCCTTTTGAATTAGACGAAAGTAAAATATTACTCAATAGACAAACATCCTGCAGGTTATTTCTTGCTGGCTGAAGAGTGTGCAATTCTCTCATTCATATTCATTAGTATATGAATACAAAAGTCCAATGAACTCATGCAACCTTTATATAATAATAAACTGTACTGTTTTCAGATTAAATTCTTTGGTGTCAGTGCATTTAATCATCAGCCATAACAGGCTGAATAGTGATCATTTTCAAACCTGCAGGTTGCGAAGTGCAGTACTTCCAAATTCAAATTGAGTAACTTTACCTCACCAGTTCTTAAATATTTGAGATTATGTCATCTCAGCTGATAATGTTAATAGGTTCACAGTAAAGAATCTGCAAATAAAGTGACAGGAGATATAGGAGACTAGTATAAGCAAAGGCTGGAAAGATTTCTACAAAGAAAGCATGTAAGATTAAGGATATGGATACCAAATCAGTTGACACAAAATGTGTTTGTGCTTAATATTATAGCATCTTCTGTATGGTTTTCAGTTGTTAGTACGTTCATTCTTCTAACAAACCAGTTGGGGGTCAAGGACAGGAGCTACAGATGGGAACTATAGCTAAGGAAAACTTTTTTTCAGCAGAGTCTTTCCGGGCATAGCTCTAAATGCCTCCTCATACTGTGTAAGAATTGCCACCATAAATAACTAATTTTGTATTAAATCGTCGTTTTGTATTGAATCATTATGTGCAGCAGAAACCCTGCCAAGTGAGGAAAATGGCACCCCAAAAGAACACAGGTTTTCTGAGGATTCAATGGATTCTGCGCTTAATTCAGTCAATCCTTCAAGCCCAAGTTGTCGGAATTCCATTGAATATCGCACCTCAGGGAATGCAGCCTATTACAGGAATTCTCTTCCAACAGTGACTGCTACCGCAAATACAACACCAATCTTACAGAGATTATCATCAGGTTCTGCTGGGAACGCCACTTACTATGAGGTCAATCGGAATAGGCTGCAGAGGAGGATTGAAGGTATGCTTCAGCTTTTTAGAATGAGCATGTTTGGTTTTTTTTAGTATGCTGTCTAACGTTCTATAAATCCATTGAAAATATTTTAAGTACACTAAGAATTCAAATACTGGAAAGAGTTGATGGCATTCGGAAAAAAGGAAGACCAAATGTGAGATGGGTTAATTCGAGAAAAGAGGCCACAGCCTTGAGTTTTGCAAGACCTGAGAGGTGAGAGGGGCTTTGGATGATAAGACCTTTCAGAGGTCATTAACTCATAAGATCACCCAAAGTCAGAAGTGATTTGGGGACACAAAACAAAAGCAACAAAAGTAGCATGATGCTTTTCAGGGCTTTGCCAAATAAATCAAAATCTGCAATGTTGTTGAACATTCCATAAAACCAAAATCAAATGAGCCTTATCTCGCTCTGCAGTGATTTCTCATTAGAGATAGGCTGGTTGTAAATGATAGAAGATCCACTGCTGAAAATCCAAAGAAACGTAGATTTCACTCTCAAAAGGGTGCTTGTGGCTCTCAGACACGTTGCGATATTGTATTTTCTTCTAATTCTTCCTTGAGAACACTTCGTTCTAAATGCACCTCCGATGAGTTCATATTTCCCAGGGTGAACAACATCTGTGTGCTCCATATCTAGAGAACCCTGGAATGAGTTACCCTTTATAATAGTCAAGTGGCATTAAAGTCACCTTGGTTCCTTTGCTGGGAAAAAATGTGGTAGTAAATAAGTGACACATCTGGCCAAATTTTGAATTCTTTGGTTCTTCCCTAATCTTAAAGTTAGGACCCTCTGAGCTTGAACTCAAAATCTTACGTTGTTTGAAGGTCTTCAGTGGTGTAACAAAGACAGTATTTAACAAAAACTTTTGTTACCAGCTTTTCCTCTCTATAAATAGACATAATCCAAGGAATACACACATCTATGTGTGTATGTTCCACAGTGTACTGGTTTCATCAAAACTGCTTGGCACCTTCCTCAGGGTGAAACTGGACAGCCAAATTGGATTGGGCTGGATTGGGCTAAATAGGGTCGCTTTAGGTTACCAAGAGGTGTAGTATACCATTTGGGTGTGTTTGGGTGGTGTCGAGACAGGAAACCATGCTGCGCCTCAAAACATTCTCTTTAATCCATTAGTCCCTTTAAAGGGAAAAAGGATTAAATATATATATATATAACATCCTTGTCCCCTCCTGTCTCCTCCTCCATGAGGCACTGGAAGGAAACTTTCAGGTTTTTTGGGGAAAAAATCAAGTGCCACAGTGCAGAATTGGCTTGCTGAGCAACCAGTTCAGCATTTGACTCAACGGGCTTTAAAAAGAAAAACACACACAACCTTTGAATGTTCTTCCAGTTCCCTCCTTTGCAGAGAAGTGGGAGGAAGCTTTCAGTTTCCTAATAACTGATTTGTTCCTGAAGCAACTTAAGTAAAGTTACAGCTTGTGCTACTTGCTTTGGCTCAATTCCAGTGATTTCATATGCCTGAACTGAAACAAAATGGAGTGATCTTACCTGCATTAAAAAAAAACCAGTAACCCCTGACAGGGGCCCAGCATGGTATGGGTAAGCATGGATAAGGAAAGGGCTGATTTGTGATTGCCTGTACGTCATGATTGCTGGGAAAAGGAGTGAGCCAGCCCGCCCCCAAACTCTGACAAATCCCTCTCTGATTGCATGCTCAGTTTCTTTTTTCTTTTCCTCTTTTCTTTTTTGTCTCTTTAAGCTGCAAGCTCCACAACAGGTCCTGACCTGAGCGCACTAAAACGAGAGCCTTCCCGTCTGCCCAGCAAGGACCCATCTACATGGTCGATAGATGAAGTGATGCGATTTGTAAAAGAAGCTGACCCACAAGCATTAGCACCCCATGCAGAACTTTTCAGAAGACATGTAAGAAATCTCTTTGCAAGTGTCTTGTGCTTTGCTTGCTTGCTCAGTTTCAAAACTGAGTCATGATATCCTGTCAAATGTACATGGTAGCATATTGGGGCTATAAAGGGGACAGGACAACTCTATCAAAATGCAAGAAATTACAGATTTTACATGCAGATTCCAGTACAATTTCTCTTCTTAGGCAGACATATGTGAAACAATCCATTCAGAAGGATTATATTCTGTGTTACACTTCTTTACACCTGCCAACTACAGTATTTTCTCAAAATAGTGACTATTATTAACCTCGGAGGTGAGTGACACATTGTTGTGTCATTCTGTGTCAGCCCCACTGGGGACTATATGACCTCTCCCTATCCCTGTGCATTCACAGAGGTTTGCCGGTCCCCTGCAAAGTTCCCTGCAGCTTGTTGGTACGTTTTATTTAAAGAAAGGGCTTTTATAAATCCCTGGTTGGAAGAAGAGTTTGGAGTGGTAATATTCAGCTAGAGATGGGCACGAACCAAAGTTTGGGATTTAGGCCCACTTTGGCGCTGCACTTGCACAGGTGTTATGTGGGCATCGCCCACTCCCCTCTGTCGCCTCCTCCCCAGGTGATGTGCGTTTCCCTCTCTGCCTCCCCAGTGCAACTGCCCACTTGCAGATTGCAGCACACACTTCTCTGCTTCCTGCGGTGGCTTCCCACTCAAAGGCAGCACTGCGGGCTTCCCTGCCCCACCGCCTCCTCCTTCGAGTGGGCAGCCACCGGGGGAGGCAGAGGAGAGAAGTGCGCACTGCAATCCACGAGTGCGCAGTTGTGCTGGGGAGATGGGGAGGGAAACACACATCACCCAGACAGATGAGTGAGCATGCAGAGGAGGCAGGAGCGGGGAGCGCATGGCACCCACGGAACACCTGTGCAATCACAGGGCGGAACTGCCGAACTTCAGTTTGTGCCCATCTCTATTTATGGCCCAGTTCAGGCCCCAGAAAGATAATGTATTACAATAATTTGCAAGAAGCACTGCAGGAAGAAGGGAGTGCAAAATGTGTAAAACATACCTGGAATAAATTTTGTTTCTCAGGTCTTTCTTATGGAAAAATTTGGCTCCCTGGATCTAGAGATTTGCAAGTCCCAGCTAGAGCCAACCTACTGAGATCAAAGGCATTTTGATAAGGCATTTGATTCAAATGGACTTTCTCAAGTTGTGACTTACTATCCTAAGCAAAAGTACAAATGAGAGAATGATTCTCAAGATGTATAAAAATATAGAAAGTGCAGACTCAGCTCAGGCTTGATGCATTTCGACTGGCCTTTTTGAGGAACTAAGCATAAAATAAAAATAAATATTAATTTAGCAACAGCTGGCATGGGACAGTTACAACTATTTTCTTATCTATACAGTTAACAATATAAAATATTAATAAGTATGTACATAACAAGAGCAATAAACTCCTAGTACACATTAATTACAACAAATAAGATACATACCAAGCTTTTAGAATGTTACCATCTCATTTGATACCAGCACCGAACATTATTCCAAAGTGTAAATGCAGGAGGGATGGTATCTACTTATTATCTTGAGAGATCTAGAGGTCTTCAGGAGGGATTACAGGTTTTATTTAAAAGAACAAGAAACCTAGGGGATATGTTGGTACTGAAAAAAAGTGAATTTAAAGATAAGAGTGCCATAACAAATCGTGAGCATTCTAGTTCGTTCTTCCCCTCCCACAGGATACCATCCATGTGGACATTGTGCCTATTATAGAAATACATGTCATATGACAGAATTTAAAGATCCACAGAATGGCAAAGTGTATATCGTGAAGAAATTTACCAACTGCAATACGCTGTAAGTTGTCCTTGCAGTAAACTGTAAATAGGGAAGACCTCTTAAGACAAGGATGGGAGAACATCTGAATAATTTTTAAAATGAAATATTTTGTAGCCCTCTTGCCACTTCACAAAAATTAACCACACAACAAGATATCTAATATTCTGGGTCATAGATATGGTTCCTGGGAAGTATGAGAGATCCTTACTTAGAAGGGAAATCAATTAGATATTGAGGTTGAACACTTCAGCCTTCTTTGGGTTAAATGAAGAAATAGATTTTTTGCCCTTACTTTAGTACAGCCCCCACTGCCTCACTGATTATCTAACTGTCCTTGACTCGGTTGCCAGCTGAAAATAAGTAAATATTATCCCTTCTGTATTTGCACTTTGGATCAGTGTTGGAGCTGGTATAGACCAAATGAGATTCTGAAGTTCTAAAAGCTTGGTATGTTTCTTATATGTTGAAGAAGGCCAGAGCCAAAATGCGTTGAGCCTGAACTTTTTAGACAAAAATAATGTCTGCACTGTCTATGCTTTTATACATCTTGAGACTCGGTCTCCCATTTGTACTTTTGCCACCAGTTGGATGTACCAGTTCCTTCTGCTTTGTTACTATCTTAAGAAGCAGGATTTCAACCACAGTCTTTTATTCAAAGTAATTTCCTTCAGATATATTTTCATTGTCAATTCAAGAGTGTGATTCCTGCTCCCATTGTTCTCACAATTGTGACTCATATATCAGTCAGTACGTGGCAATCACTTTGGATATGCCACACTTTTGTAGCTGCAATATACAGTCGTGACAAGTTTTCTGGCATCCAGGGAATAGCAAGCCCCTTATCTTCTAAATGACTTGTTTCCAACTGATGGGATATGTTTGTTCCATCCATTCCAGTGTTGAGGCAATATTTTATCAATCTGTTAATCATTGTTCTTTCCCTTCCACCACAGGAAATTGATGGAAAGGCTCTATTGCTACTGAGGAGTGATATGATAATGAAATACATGGGTCTAAAATTGGGGCCAGCTCTAAAGCTTTGCTACCACATCGAGAGACTTAAGCAAGGAAAATACTAGTTGGTGGATGAACAATGGTAATGTCAGACACTCAGGTTCAGAAAAACGGGGGCACAATGAAGCAGGAGCATTATCTGGTCTTAGAAAGAGATGCAAAGAAGATGGTCCCATTCACTTCACCAAGACAAATTTCCAGGAGATTGTGTATCCTGTTTTCTAAGCACTGTCCTCACCCATGAGTGGTTTCCAGAAATTTATTCTCAAAATAGAATTGATAGGGAAACATTTCAATCTTTGTATATAACATTTTTAAGGGCGTGAGGAAAGGCCGTGTCAAGAGTAAAGTAGTTAAAGTCATGAGTATTATTTTGGCTGCAAAATATATTCTAGACTATTTGACTTCAGCTGGGGAAATTTGTCCAGAACCAAAACTGCTGAATTCCAAAGGAATATATTTTTTTCTAAAAATTGAAAAACCTGGATCTAGAAATTCTGGAAATTGTGGCTGAATTCATGGAGGGAAAGATACTGTTGTTCCAATTGCTGCACCCCTCAGTTAACCTTTCACAGCTGGCATTCCAGAACATAAATATTCAATCTATGCTATAGATTTCCATAAAGGGAATAGCCATATGAACTGTTCTGTTTGTGCGTGCTATGTGTTTAAAAACAAAAAAGCTTTTATAAAATTGTAGTTTTAAATTATGGGGGTACTCTGCTGTATGCTGACAATTTAAGCTGGCAGTATTTCTATTTTGAGATGGATGTTCTTATGGCTGACTTGAGCAGCCAGCTTCCAGATGAATGAACAGATTTTTCAGCTTGCTTTCTGAAATATGCCACCCAGCATTTTTAAACATTCCATTTCTGTAAAGCTGGACATGAACATACGTTCATGCATTTGTATATTTATGTGTGTGGGGTACATGCATATATATATATATGTATACTGTATATAGTGTTCTTTTTTTGAAAAACAAAGTCTTTAAAAGGTACTTTTGCACTGTGACAGATGATAAACTGTAGAACATTTTTTTAACCAGTGAAAAAGCAAAAACAGACATGCATCACACATTTTAACTGCCATTTACAGGCAGACCTGTGCAATGCTGCACCATGTATAGTCTGTTGCGCACAATGGTCTTCATATGCACACCAGCATAACACAGTTACATGGGTGTTCTTACCACCTGTTTGAGGCTAGATTGGGGATGGGAAAAAAGGGGCTGAATTCAGTTCCTTTTACACTCCGGAGCAGATAGTTTTATATTGTCAGGACTGATTACACAGGTTTGTTAGGTCATAGGTAAAATCCAGCAGGGATTTCTACATATACAGCTTTCAGTATTAGATTCCAGCATTTACCCCAAAGCACCTTTTTTTTTTTTGCATGTGGGTGGCCTTTGCTTGATTAAAGTGAATGTGTCCTCTTTACTGTTCACTAATGCCTGTCTGCTTTGCTTTCTCTCTCTGTGAGAATAAGAAACAATCAATCAGTGGACAGGTGGATTCATACAGGGGTGTTCCCTGCACTATGCAATATGCCTGGATTCTCATCATATTGCTCTGAGCCATTTTGTTCTGGGACAGTTTCTGGAAAATAATAGGGTGAATTTTGTTGTCTCTAATTTTACCTTCTTTTCTTGTCTTCTTTTTAAATATTTTTAAAAGGAGACTATTTTGACAAAGACATTGAACTGCACATGGATGTATGTATTCTTTCTAAATATTGGTGCTTTTTCTATAAGCTACAAGAAGTGCTGATAGTAAAACAGTTTGCTGTCACTGCCAACATATTATCAGGGACAATTATGTACATTTGCTGTGTAGGGAACCGAATGTACTGTGTGTAATAGTACAAGTGGTGATAGAGAAAATGTAGTCCTAAAAGGATAGATTTTATATTTCTTATTGCCTTTTTATATCAAAAGCTTCTAGTTAAAAAAAAGTATTTTTTACACAATACAGCTTTGAAAATGCCTTGCTTATTGGTGTATAATTACTCAGGTTCAGCTAAAATACTGCAAAACCATCAAACAGATTTTTGATGTATTTCTTTGAATTCCTGCAACATGATTTCAGTTAGTTTATTTTGGAGGTACTGTACATTCTGTTTTATTCTGAAAAACCCTGAATATTTATTATGCCAGTCAACACATTGTTTCTCATAAGAAACATGTCATCAGCTGCAGAAACATAAGTTAATGCATCTGTTCTGAATCATGCTGTGATATACTATACATATTGTTCATATGCACATGTCTTTAGAAGCACATATACTTATGGTTCAGCAAATATACTTGGAATATATACTGGTATTTGTGATCTTTAAGACAACACATGCAACCATTTTTCTTTACAGTTTTTAACTAAGAAGTTGCTAAATTCCTTTTTCTTATTTGAGAAAAAATCCCAAGCATATACAACCATTGGCACTTTCATAAGACACCACTTTTTGACTGGCATTTCTGAATGCTGCAAATATACAAGATAGAAAGTGGAAGAGAGACATTGTGAAATCTAGTGTACTGTATATTTCAATGTGACTCATCACATTCATCAATAGAGAATGCTAAAAAGAATCCAAACCTCAAAGAAACAAGGTCTTGGCATGCATGTGGTTATTTCCTTTACTGGCCTGGAGATGAAAAAATATCACAAACGTAGTCCTATTATTTTTATATAAGCTACAGATGGCTGGAAAATGTTTCATACAAGAACTTTGTAAAATGAAGTTGTAACCTTATTATTTTGCCAGTGTGACATATTTGTTAGTACTGAATAGTGCAAAGGTGTGTGTTGCATCATATATACACCATCCGCACATGGAACAAGAATGCCATATGGAAATTTAATCTTGTATTGTAGCATGATATCAAAGTCTGTCAAGTGTTTGTAACAGAATATATTTTTAATTATTTTCAACTTGATGTTTCCATCGAAGCAGAAAATAAAACTTGTTCAATGTTTACTTGTCCATTTTTATTGTGTCACATGTATTTTATATAAATTTGTAATACCACACACTGAGGTAATTCTTTACCCTATCAGACTATTCATAATGCTTCAATTAGATCTGACCTGGGCAAAGTGTGGCCCGTGGGCCACATACGGCCTGCGAGCCGCTCCTGTCTGGCCCGCCGGTCGCTGCCGAGTGAGCCGGAGCTCCGGCTCTGGTCACCCAGCACAGCAGTAAGGAAAACCTCACAAGATCTGACATTGGGATCTTGCGAATTTTGACTGTTACTCTTGAGCCGCAGATCAAGAGGCCGGAAGCGATCCTTGCGCAGGCGACGTGATGATGCATCACATCACCTGCCCAGGATAGAAGACAATCGGAGAGGAAGGCCGTGGGGGAACGGAGAACAGATGAGTTAGCTCAGTGTTGGAGGTTTTTTCCTTCCCCCTCCCCACGGTGAATGAACTACAACACTCACATAGTTAACTTCCTAAAATGTTTAGGCAGTTAACTATGTCGGCCTTGTAGTTCGTTCACCACAGGGCCTCACCCAGTGGGGACTTATTACTACCCATCCCTGAACACAGATCAGATTTTTCATGTGGCCCCCTATAGAAATGAATTGCCTACCCCTGAATTAGATGGTCTTTTCATTGAAACACATATGAACACATGAGCTCACAAACACTTGGATTGCATTGTTTTATAGACCTACCTTTGAAAAACTTCACACACACCTACACCCTACAGCTAAATCCAGTAGTTAGTTTGAACTAGATGAGACCCACGTAATGAATGGGGCTTCTCAAGTTAATGCTTGTGTAAGTTAAGTCCCACTGATTCAGTAAGTCTATGGTAGCAAATGACTGCCAGTGTTGGGGCTATCGTTAGATTCAGTCCACAAAACATGTATGCATAAGATACTGCAGCTCTTGAGACATTGAAATGGCTGTCTTGTCACTAGATCCTGCTTACTGAAGGAAAGGATCTTCTCCGGCCCAACAGATCTCAAGGTCAGTACTTTCTAGAAATTGAGAAGGCCTGGTACTGATGATCTTAATTGAAAGTAGGCGAATGGGTGCCTAACAGATTTAAAGTGTTTTACAATGGCAGAGTTATAGTTAAGCAAATAACTATTTAGTCCCAAGCTGCCAGTGATGGAGATGGATGTTATGAATTTGATTTGTACTTCATCCTTCCCCGTTGAAACCCATGGTGTCTCAACCAGACATAACATGTGCATACGTTTATGACATGGAAGTTCAAGTAATCTGATCAGGCTCTGAATATGGGTAGGTCACCAGGCCCAGTGAAATACTAAAAGCAAAAAGCAAAGCGTGCTGATTATATAGCGCCCCATAGTGCTTCAAGCACTCTCTGGGCGGTTTACAAGTTAATTATGCAGGCTACACATTGCCCCCCCCCCAGCAAGCTGGGTACTCATTTTAACAACCTCAGAAGGAATTGTCTGGGTATGCACATGCATATGCATAACGTGCATGTGTACAATTATATCAGAGATGGCCCTTCTGTTAAAAGTAACTTTCGAGCTTACTCTATTTGGCAAATCTGGATCGCACACACATTTAGCTCCAAGGCACTTAATGCACAATCCACAAAGTGCATCCCAATACCCCTTACAAAATTGCAGAGCATGATGAGGCAAAACTGACTGCATGCCTCTTCATTGGCACCTCACTCTTTTAATTTCATGGCTGTTGGCACCATCCCACCCTTTTAATTTCGTGGCTGTTGGCACCATCTGCAGTGATCGCTTGCAGATCACATGCAGATCTCTCCAGGATAACAAGGAACTATTGGTTAGTGATCGCTTGCAGATCACCTGCAGATATCTCTCCAGGATAACAAGGAACTATTGGTGAGCACCCTTTGGGTATAGCCTGTTGGCCACCTACAGAGCGATCTAACAGCAGCATTTTTGAAGAAGTCACAGATGTACCGTACTGCTTAATTTTCTGTTCCAGTACTTTTTATGCTATCGATGTCAAGCTGACCAGTCAGTAACTAGCTCCTTTCCCCCCCTCCCCTTTTGAAAATGGAGACAAAAGATGCTCACCTCCAGTCCTCAGGGACCTCACCTGTTCTCCAGACATTCTCAACAATTATAGGCAGAGGCTGGGAGATTACTTTTTCTAAAAGAGACATTCAAAACAACTAAAAGGACAACCAAAATACTACAACCAATTAAATACAACAGCAACCTAAACACTAAACCAGCACAACACAAAAATAAATAATTAAATATATACGCACATAAAATACAGTTAGATTTCAAAGCAAACATCACATTATAATCAGTGGCACAGTGAAAAGTCTGGTGGGAATGATATATTTTCAAACATTAACACAGACAAAGAAGTAGAACATCTAATCTGCCATGGGAGGCAACAGCATGCACATGGTCCTGCCACAGTAAAAACTCCCTTTGTATGATGTGCTTCCCTGTTGCTTAGATAGCAGGCTCTAAAGTCACCTTTAAAAGTATCTAGATTCAAAATGGAGCAGGTAGTTGTTCAAGCAACCTCCTCTCAAGCTATTAAAGGCTTCAAAGGAATAACCAGCATATGAATTACACCCAGAAACACTACAGATGATGAAATAAAGGGATGACATGATCTTAGTCCTTGGAACTGCTCACAACTGAGCACATGACTTGATTTCTTTACTAATTCAAGAATCCTATCCATGTCAAGATACACAGCTGAAAATGGATCCAAAAATCACATTACAAAGGGTAGGAGAAGGTACATTGGCTGACTCTGTTAATGCGGAGTATAGGCTGGCACAGGGCAAGCAGCTTTAAGCCCAAAGACCAGTAACTTGAGGCAACATAAATGGAGTACTGTAAGTTCCCAATGGGGAAGCCAGAGATTGGCCCATTCCAGTGCACAGGGTTTATGCTCCTGGAAGGAGTCCTGTATGTCTCTTCACATATGAGTTGAAAAGAGCCCAACACCTATTTGCACCTATCTAGACAACTGAACAAGCAGTACAAATCAACAGGACCTTGCCTCAGTGTATTGCAGGCTGATCCCAGTGAGCTGTCTTTCAATTCTGTTGATGTGAAACGATCCTGACGTAAAAGGCATGTAACAACATGGAGAAGCTTCTCCAACTGATTCAGTGAAGATAAAATGGCAAAAGCAAACTTTCTTTGGAGCTCAGTAAAAATGTATCTTTGCTAGACTATGAAAACAAGGCCTCAATGGCCATATGAATACCGTTTATTTTGTCTGAGCAAGCACTGCCAGTGTGCATCATGTAAGGAGGAGCACCAAGGACCAAAATGTGAAAATGTTGGAAATAAATTCAAAATCAGTTTAGAAGCTGGAAAGGAATTCAAATTAGTCTGGATTAGTTTAACAGCCAGGAATAACATAATATAAAAATATAAAATACCACAAACAAGCGAGCACATACATTTATTCTGAAAGTTCCATTCTACTCACCGTTTTCAACATTACATCTTCAAAGCACTTTATGGCAGTGAAAATAGCTCTTACCCCTTTGAATCACTCATCCATTATATTCCATTAAAGCTGCAAAATGTGCAATCCACTTGAAAAATATGTTGTTTTTAAATTTTACTTTTAATGAAAAGTTAGAATGAGGGGCTGGGTGGGAAGCCATTACATCGGGAAGATACATCTATTCCCCCCGCCGCCCCGTCTTCTCATTCCCACCCAAGCCCAGACCACAGTTCTTCACCTCCAAATAACTTAAAGATAGTTTAAAGATTTAAATGTAATTTAAAATGAAGTGCATCTCTTTATTCATAACAATTATACTGTAAAACATTCCAAAACTTCATAAATTATTTTCTTGGAAAAAAGGCCGCAAGCCGCTGCTTTTTGATGGGAAGAATATGTATCTCCTGTGAGTTCATTTTCTTTAATTTGACATTTCTGTTTTTGATAGGTTTCCTAAGAGCTTCTGCATTATCCCGGGTTTCAGGCTGATTTTTTACATCATAACATTGCAGAACAGAGTCCTGGGGCATGTCTCTTTTGAAGGAAAAGTTTTTTGTAGAAACTCCCGAGAGGCCTTTAATCTTGCCACAGAAAATAGTAGGTACTGCATCTTTGACGGAAACTATTACTTTGGCCGTCTGTGAAGTGCTCACGATTTCAATGTTATTGCCAGCTGACGGCTCACAGGCTGTTATGTTCGTCTGATCCACCAACCATTTAGGCTGCTGTCTCAGAAGTTCAGAGGAGCTGCTACTGACCACTCTGCTTTCAACTTTTGATGGACTCTCATGAGGTTTTGAAGGGAGAAAGGGTGAAACAGCAGGAGGAAGTTTACTTGTTGTGGAATGAGCCATGCCGTCCATGATGGGCCCAGAGCGACCAGCGCTTGTTGTTTCGTTGCAGCCTGTTTTTCGACAGGAAGCAATTGACAGGTCCAAAGCACCATCCTCAGGTAATAGTGGAGCACTATCCTCACTTTCCTTTAGCAAAGGGGCAGATTTCATGGACAGATCCAGAACCTCATTCTCGCTACTCATCTTAATAACAGTATGCCGATTCAGCTGTGAAAGCCCTCTGTGGTGCATGAAATCAAAGGGTTTTGTTTCTTCTTTCTCCAAGGGAGTCTGGGTTTCCTTGCAGGAATGCAAAATGAACGAAGCAGCTGGTTTAGGGCAGTCTGGACTAACCTTATATTCCGCACTGTGGGGAACTGGGATGGGGATAGGAATGGGGATAGGGACAGGAACTGGCAGAGGAACGATCACTGGGTATGGTACCAAGAGTGTGGCAGGAGGGACCAGTGGAGACAATGGGGAACTGAAGGCCTGAGGGGGGACAGAAGAGCAATCTGGAGGTGGCTGATAGGGTGAGGAACCTAAGGTGCCTTGTGAGGGAAAGAGATCTTGTAGAACTGCAGCAAATCCTGGTGTCTGAAACACAGGAGGCAAGACAGACTCCGGAGGCGAGTTGGAAGGTTTCTGATCCATGAGCTGTGGCTGCCCCATTGGAGCAGATGAGCCCTGGAAAAGGTTACTATGCATCGGGTTGGTAGCGCAGGGAGAACTCTGAGGTAACACCAGTGGAGAATTTAAATGCTGAAAGACATGTTGCTCTAGGAGAACAGGAAGTGGGACTGGGCCTTGAGTGGTCATGACATATGGAGTGTTACTATTAGGAGCAATCTGAGGGGCAGCACTTCCTGCGACTTGCAGGTGTATTGGTAGAACCACAGGGCTGTCCCCTAAACAAATTGGCTGAAGCACTGTAGCAGCTACTTTGAGCGCAACCCCACTTTGGGATTCTGCTGGTGGTGTCAATATGGATGGAGCAGGGACAGTTACGAGTGGTGAAAGTGCTTTCTTCATCAAGTCTGATGAATTTATATTCCACGCTTCTGCTGTTATCAGCTGGGCAACTCCATTTTCTAGTTTGTTGTTAGCTATAGCTGAGGGTGAGGTGGTAACATCCATGGGCAGATTTTGCGTGTCCTTATACAGTTCCTCCATTTTACAAGGATTCTGAGCCTCTGCAGAGTTGTAGTTTACATAGCTGTCACTGGAATTCACTTTATCTCCTGGCTGCCCAAAGGATCCACATCAACATTATCTGGCCTGCAAAACAGAGACAAACTTTAAGCACTGCATAAATCTCTTGCTTAAAATAATATCTGCAACTTTTTTAGGCTGCCTATCACTAAAACAGGACATTAAGTGTTTCCACACTTTGAGGACAAGAGGTTCTATCATACCATGCCCCAGCTATATGTATAGTAGTTTGCATATACAAAACATACATCTGCGGAGTGTTATACGAAGAGTTCTGGGGAATTTAAAGTTAGCCATAAACATAGATAATTTAAAGACTGCGACAACTGTAGATAAACAGTGAAGTGTAGAACAAGAATCCAGCCTGTTCATTTGATACTTTCAAACAAAGCTTCATACAATGGTATCATGTGACACTGGATGTAGCTACACTATTTACACTCAACAAGAGTGTAAAATGGAGGTGCCCTAAAAATAACCCACACTAGAATTATGAATTCCCCATTTGGAATCCTTCACAACTCTGAAAGAATCAAATGTTTCTGCTTTCTGAGCATCTAAAACCTGCCAGTGCAAACATGCTGCTTTAGACGTGGTTAAAGTTGTGTTGTGTTAGGTGATATCAGGGAACCCTGATAGTGCAGTAACACAAAAACATATTTTGTTCTTTTTATAGGTTTTTCCTCACAGCTAAAGCTAAAAAGAAACTTCCTCTTCAGAGCTACGCAATAACAGAAACAGAAAAAGGGAATCTTTTGTTACTAAGACATAAAAAGAATTAAAATCAAAGCTCCTTTGATTTACTTTGATAGGCTAATCTTCACTGTGCAGATTTCAGAAGAAAACTTTTCTTCTATAAGCCATCTTCCATAAGCACATCGCTAAGAGCAATGTGACTATCCCCATGGCACTGAGCAAAAAAACATTCCTGTCATGAAAGATGTCAGAACCACCCAGATACAATATCGCCCTTCTATTTAAATGGAAGTTTTATAATGCAGAACTTCACAGCTCAGATAACAGAATCACAGAATAATGGAGTTGAAAGGGGCCTATAAGGCCCTCAAATTCAACCCCCTCCTCAATGCAGGAATCCAAATCAAAGTACAGTATTCTTTTGAATACCTCCACTGTTGGAGTGCTCATCACCTCCTGAGGTACTTGGTTTCATTGCCATATTGCTCTAAGAGGACATTTTTCTTGATATTCAACCCAAATCTGGCTTCTTGTAACTTGAGCCTATTAATATGTATCCTGCACTCTAGAATGACTGATCCCGCCACTCCTCTGTATGACAATCTTTCAAGTATTTGAAGAGCACTATCATATATATCTCTCCTCATTCTTCTTTTCTCCAGGCTAAACATACTCAGTTCTTTCAGTCCTTCCTCATAGAGCTTGGTTTCCAGTCCCCTGATCATCCTTGTTGCCTTCTTTTGAACCTACAATTTGTCTCTATCCTTCTTGAAATGCATTGTTCAGAACTGGACACAGTACTCAAGTTGAGGCTAACCAGTGCCAAACAGAAGGGAACTAAGACATCTCAGGATTTGGAGATTATACTTCTGTTAATTTATCCTAAAATAGCATTTAGCTTTTTTCCAACTACATCTCACTGTTGACTCATATTCAGTTTGTGATCTACAACAATGTCAAGATCTTTCTTACATGTAGTATTACTGAGCCAAGTATCCTCCCCTTTTGTAACTGTGTGTTTGGTTCCTCTCCCTCAGATGATAGACTGTATTTTAATAACAGACTGATCTAGAATAGGAATTGAGCACCTCTGCCCATCTTGGACTCCTTTTCTGTTTAGGATCTCCTGCCAAACTTATAATTGTTCTGAGCTTATTAAAATCAGCTTTCCTAAAATCCAGTGTACAAAATGGCTACACCCCGCTTTTGCATCCTTTGAAATCAAGAACTCAAGTGGAATATCGTCACTTTCCCCCAGAGTTCCCCTTACTTTCACTTCTTCTACCAAATCATCTCTACTGTTTAGGATCAAGTCAAGGACAGCTAATTCACTAATTTCTTCCTCCACTTTTTGTAGGAGAAAATTATCAGCAATATAAATCAGGTATTCCTGGAAGGGCCATATTTGTCAGAATTTGCCTCCCAACAGATAGCAGGATAACTGAAATCTTGCATTACTACTATATCATATCTCTTCGAAATTCTTGTAATTTTTCAAAGGTTTCACCTTTATCTTCTTGTTGATTGGGCAGTTGGTAGAAAACTACCAGCTCCCTTTTATTTTTCACTCCAATTATATAAATCCAGATGCTCTTGGTGGGACAACCAAGGTCATCCTCATGCATTTCTGTGCAGGAATATGTATTTTTTTTTTCATACAGTGAGATTCCACACCTCTTTCTATTCTTTCTGAACTACTGTTATATCCCTCAGTTGCCATATTCCAGGCATGGGAATAATCCCACCTACTTTCAGTTTTTCTGATCAAATCACATTTACCCTCCTGAACTAAGAATTCCAGTTCTTGTTTGTTTCTCATACTCCTGGCATTTGTATACAGACACTAGCGATTGTGTGATTTGTGTGTGTCCTGGCTTCTTTCATACTTTTTAATGAAGGCTATTTTTGGAACCCATTAGAGCTGCTTGCTCTGTTCCTCTTATTGTTTGTAAGCCTTCATTTATCTTTATCTCTGAGCTTCTGTCACCCACTACTTTCCAATTCAATTTAAAACCTTACTGATAACGTGCTTCATGCTGGGAAAACTTTGTTCCAAATATCCACATCCCTCACATTGGCACCATCCTCCTAGCCAGTTGTTCATTTGGAATATTTCCCTTTCCCTTTCTAGTCCTCTTCTGAGTATTGGTAGGATGGATAGGAAGACTATCTGGATCACAAAATCATTGAGTTTCCTTCCCAGACTTTCAAAGTCAGATGTGATTTTTTCATATTACCTGTTGACTTTGTCATTTGTTCTTATGTGGATGAAAAGAAAGGATATCCATCCGCGGGTTTTATAAGATATGGCAATCTTTCCATCATATCCCTAATCCATTCTCCAGAGAGCCAGCACACCTGGTCAATCCATGGATCTTCCTACCATATTTTGGTTTTTGGCCACTGTGCTTGTACTTTTTAATTTTTTTAAAAAATGCTTATTTATAAATTGCTTGCAGCAGCTGCAACAACAACACCATCACCACAAATACATTGCTGAGAGGACAGCCTCCCTTCACTTGTGAGTTTAAGGAAGGAAAGGGGAAAGTGGGCTTGAGCAGAAAAGGGGCCATTTCCTACTTGGAATTGTTTCAGGGGAGAAAGAAAGGGGCATCACATTAACATCTGCCTCTTTTTTTAACCTGCTCTTAACAATACTTTGCAGATCTTTTAAAACTGGTTTCTCCTCCCAACGCTGTTCAAAGGGGAAAAGAAAAATGAAAGCCAAGAAATGAGAGGAGATATGCAGGAAAATAAGGAAAAGGGGATGAGTGACTAAAGTAAACAGGAGAGGAGGACAGAAGGAACAGTGGCGAGAAGAAAAACAAAGTGGAGAAAGGAACTGGGAAGTGACAATTTTAAAAAAGGAAGGCAGGGTTGCAGGTGACATATACCACCAGATTGCACAGTGACTAACAGTTGAGAGTGACAGGAAAATAATGATATATCACTTACAAATTATTTTTAAAAATCAAATAATATTTTAAGGCAGTGAGGACCCAGAAATAGGACAGCAAATGAATAGATTTATATGAGATGGCATATGTAGAGCACAGAACTGGTACAAACAGCAAGAAATGTAGCGACTGAACTGACAGCCATGTGAACAAGCTTACTTCCCACATATTATACACAGAAATACAGTATATCAATGTTTTAAAAGGAGGAAAAAGGAACTGTGTGATCAGGCCCTTTAGTAGAAATCCACTGACTAGTCAATCATATCGCAGCTCCTTGTTATATTAATATTAAAGAGATACTGCACTGGTGACTGTCATTCACAGATGTTTGTTGGATAAGTAAAGAAACAAATGGTGCTATTTCTTTCACTATACAAAAACTCAAAGAGCTAAAACTCAAGAGCTAAATTAACTTTAATTTAAATTAAGTTAAAAGTTCCTGCTTTGGGCCACTTTGTGCCACAATGACATTTCGATGCAAATCTTAATGTCTACACTACTCAATTTATCTACTCTTTAAAGGTTAGCATTGCTCTAAGAAATGGATGAATAAGATTTCAAAAAAGCTTGAATAGACTCTATATAATGCTCTAAAAGTTAAAACAATTTAAAATGATTTTATCTGCTGAATTATTTTTTCCTTTTACTTTCGTGGATCAGCCCTAAATTGATAGGTTCAATTGGCAGCAGACAAGAGCTGCTGATCCACTTCAGAAATCAGCTGCCTTCAAAAAAAAAAAAAAAAAA